ATACATTCCGGCTATCGTTGTTTGAGATATGTAAATATATAATACATTCCGGCTATTGTTGTTTGAGATATGTAAATATATAATACATTCCGGCTATTGTTGTTTGAAATGTATAAATATATAATACATTCCGGCTATTGTTGTTTGAGATATGTAAATCTATAATACATTCCGGCTATTGCTGTTTGAGATATGAAAATCTATTGCTATACATTCTTTAATTGTTTTTACCCCTATCTGTGTTACAGATAGGATTGTTTTATATATATTATAGCAATGCTCCTGTTTGGGTTATTTCCATCTGATCTATCTTTTCTAGTCAATGTATAACCAACAAATTTTAAACTGTTACGTTTGTTTAACATAGTTTTTGAAATAACCAAAATATCGGTATTTGTCGAAGTTACTACGTCATCGATCTAGTGTTTCTTGGAAGCAAGACCATCTTGGATACTGATGTGTTGAACTATGAATGTTTATCTGAAAAATGAGTACATGAATTGTTGTAAAATGTATGGTATGATAGTAATGTTGTCTTGATTGTTTTGATTCTTTAATGAGGTCATAAATTGTTTTTGACGGCTTTCATAATTTGGTTATTTTCACCTTTTTTTTTTTGGAGTTTGTGTTTAAGTTTTGAGTTGTTTTAGAGTGTTTTACATTTTGTTGTTGTATACTGGTTTGGTCGATGTTTTCATTACTTTACCACGTGTTTTGTTTTGACTACTGTTGTATATGTCAGTACTTGTGTTGAAGTCTGTACAGTGTTTTCAGTACTTGTGTTGAAGTCTGTACAGTGTTGGTTGAGAATATGATTATTGACGATAAAAGTCTGATATATTGTTGAACTTCTACAACAATGCTTCTAACTAAACTGAAAACTTGTAATAATATAACGGAGGCTGGAATGCCACATCAGGATATATATGTTTTATGGAGTACTTGGTGAAGTTACTTTTCCAAAACGAAAGACCAAATATGTATATCTAACTTAAACAAAAGATCGTGATTGGAGTCGTTGACGTTGTTTAGTTTAGGCCTAAACAAAGATAGCCTACAAACTGTAACGAGCGACGTAATAGGTTGACACTTCCGAGTGTCCATCAAAATTAAAACTTGCTAGGCCTACGATATTCAGTTTTCTATTTTATTATAATAAAATGTAACATGGTAACCTTAATACAGCTTTATATACATAATTTTCATTGAGTATGACTTTAAAAACATCACCTGAATTGTATTTGCTGTGGCTTTCTCATTATTGTAACTATATGTTTGTTTTTTTTTTGTTTTCCTTCCAGTGACTCTGGACAGCTGTTGTTTTTAGAATGAATCTTCAAGCCCATCATCGTTTACTGGTTGGAACTATAACTAACTCTGTGACGCAAAGCGGAAACGACTGTAAACTTTACACTGTGGTGCTTTTCTTACTGCCACCTGCCTACAACACTTAATTCAATTATTAATTCTGTCCCTACTTCTAAAACTGACTTGACCAGTGGCGGCTCGTCAGAAGAGGGAAAAGGAGCCCATGCCTTCTGAAAGATTTTGAACAGATTAAATATTACTTATTTTGTATATTAATACCTTTATTATTTTTGCTTGCTTTGGGCGCAACATTCTTTGTAGCAAAACGCTTAAAAAATCTTGTCCTGCTCTGTGTCATTTATGGAGGTGACATCTGGTGCCGATAAACAAAGACCAATTGTACCTCTCGGACCTTTTATTATCTATCAACTTCTGCGAGAAGATTCGAACCTTATTCTGAGTTTAACAAAGATTTTTAATGTAGCCAATCAGAATCTAAGTTAAAAAAAAACAACCAGTGAAAACCATTTAAAGAAAACTTTGCACGACCGTTCATGGGGGTACATATTTGATTCTCTTATTGTTCACTCAGTGTTTTTAAGGATATAAGTAATTCAAAGTGAATTTCATTAACTGATATGGAGCGGATTGGTTAAAAAAGTGCGACGACCTATCTTAATATAGAGGCTATTTTGGAGTTTTACAATTCAAAGTATAGTCAAGCCTAGTTTGACACAACGACGTTACCAATGTGTTTGCAGCTATGAAAAAAATTCACGTATAAATAAGTCGAGACACCTAAAGTAAGAGCTTATTTCAGTGTTCTCTAGTTTTTTTGGGTGAGTTTAAAAATATCGTTGTCTCTTCCTCGAGGTTAACTACGAGCCGCCACTGGACTTGACATGATATGTATTATCAGTCCAACAGCACAGCCACTCTTATCCCTGTTTACTTCATGTCTTATCCATCTGGTAGATTATTCAACCACGACCTTTTTCAAGGTTTCTCGGACAACAGTTTATCACTCAGTTAATAAGGGCAGCCTCTCTTATCCCCATTTACTTCGTGTCTTATCCATCTGGCAGATTATTCAACCACGACATTTTTCAAGGTTTCTCGGACAACAGTTTATCACTCAGTTAATAAGGGCAGCCTCTCTTATCCCCATTTACTTCGTGTCTTATCCATCTGGCAGATTATTCAACCACGACTTTCTTCAGGCCTCTGAAACAGATAATCCAAACATTCTTCTGTAGTTTTTTGTGACCAATATTTTACATAGTTTTTCTTACAACACTTTTTATAATTACACAAAGTACATGATGTATATTATATTTATCCAACCATTGCCTTCGTAATGATTTTTCAATAAATATCTTTTTAATATAACGCCAAACTTTACAAATCACGCAAAATATAATTTTCAAAAACAACAATATTATTACTGTCATGACTGCTATTCTCAGTAAACTGTATTCGATATTAAGCCGTTACTGGCCTATCTTCTAAGTATATGTATATACGTTTATGAAGGCAACATCTTGGACAACATATTTAAAAACAGTCGATATTTTCATACGTTTCAGTTTTCGTCCAATTCAGATGTAAACTGCCGCATACTTGTTTTACTGGTCACTAAAGAGGTAACGAGTTCAATGTTTTTATAATTAACAACAACAGAACAAGCACATTATTTTTCAGTCATTGCCAATGTATATTTTATCAAATGTTTTATTTTTCAGGGTGATTATTTATATACAGTGTGTTCTATCCCTCCTTCCAGACTTTACGAATGTTTGTTGACCTTTCAATCTGTCTTAACCTACGAGTTTTTGTATAGACAGCAGTGTAATAAGTAACTAGTTGTAGTCGACTAACGAAGTTTAAAAGTTATACTTCAAGCAACCTCAACGCACCAACTGTTTCTCTAATAACAATCTTTGCTACATTTGTCATCGATGTCCCAGCTGTCCCTGCAATCGTTATCGATGTCCCAGCTGTCCCTACAATCGTTATCGATGTCCCAGCTGTCCCTACAATCGCTATCGATATTCCAACAGATGATTATTGAAGTTTCAACTGTTTCGCCAATCACTCTCAATGTCACAACTATTTCTTCAATTACTATCGACGTTTCGACTGCTTCTCCAATACTTCAGCTGTTTTTACTATCGACGTTTCAACTGCTTCTCCAATCAATGCTGTTTTTTAGTATCGACTGCTTCACCAATACTTCAGCTGTTTTTTACTATCGACGTTTCGACTGCTTCTCCAATACTTCAGCTGTTTTTTACTATCGACTGTTCTCCAATACTTCAGCTGTTTTTTACTATCGACGTTTCGACTGCTTCTCCAATACTTCAGCTGTTTTTTACTATCGACTGTTTCTTCAATACTTCAGCTGTTTTTTACTATCGACGTTTCGACTGCTTCTCCAATACTTCAGCTGTTTTTTACTATCGACTGTTTCTTCAATACTTCAGCTGTTTTTTACTATCGACGTTTCGACTGCTTCTCCAATACTTCAGCTGTTTTTTACTCCATTTCTTCGGTCACCATTGGAATAAGAATTTTTTATTATAGATACAAAGTGAAATAATTAACCAGCTACAAAGTCTTCGTTTCAATGTTGGTTATTGTTACAGAATTAATTTGCGTGATATATTGTATGTAGTTAATTGTGTATGCCTGGTAGGTGAGCTTCTAGTATGGGCTTAGTCTGCTTGAAAATAGGTTATTAGAGACAATTACCAAATTTGCAAAATCACAGACTGCCTGTACAGCATCTCCATACTATTAAAGACCAGAATGTGATCTAATTAAAACAAATGAAAGAAAACAGTTTTAACTGAATAATATATTGAACTACACATATTTTATATGTGAATACAATCGCTGGACTTGAAAATTCGCCACTATTTAGCGCTTCTTTTTGATTATCCAATCAGTGGTTGTGATAGGCGATTGTTCAAGAGCTCGTACTTCATCATTCCGAGTGGCCTGGTGTGGAATTATAAAGGTTGTGACATTCCCAACAATTCAGGAGAACTTCCTGCTGCAGCTCAACTGTTATTTCTATAAAACGCAAGAGCTTTGTTGATTTGTTGAATTTTTCTTCACAATTTATGTCGATAGTCGTTTGTTAATGGTGCTCTGAAAAAAAAAAAGAAATTTGTGTGTGTGTGTGTGCGTTTTCACCAGGTGCTTAGAGCATTAGGAAACTAAAAAGTCTGCACAAATCTGATTTCAACTATGGTGTCGCTGTTTGAACAGCTAGCACTGGATCCACAACAAAGAACTCACTGATTGGATAATTCCAATTTACACATAGTAAGAACGACTTTTTTATTGTTTGGTCAAACTTATTTTCAAATATAGCGAGCCAAAGTATTAAAATTGGGAGAATAGAACTTTATGTATACAGTTCAAAGTTGAAAACTGGATATGAAGCACAAGTTAAACCTACACAGTTTCAAGAAAAGCATTTGGTCTCCTTAGGACATTTCAAGAGTAACGTTTAAATCATGGATTACTTATCTCGCAAAGTGTACGCCCACGAAGTTTGAATTCTTAACAAAATTCTGCTCTCTTCTTAATATATACTCACGAATATTTGGTATTTTCGACATTTTGTGTTTGTGACTGTGATTAATTGAATTGTCATTAAAAGAAATATAACATATTATCGGAGAAAAATATTTGATTTATAGGATTTAATTTTATTTAAAAGTTAAAAGAAAAAGGAAATTGCGGCAGACGCTTAGTTTAATTTATGAAATTCATTTTAACATAATTTTAAGGTGTTTCTTTATCATTTATCAAATAAGTAGAGTTAAGTTTCGTCATGAATGTTTTGATTTTTACGATAAAAAATATTATTTCAATTACAGTTTCTGTTAAAGCCGCTAGGGCAGCAGCTCCTTAACTAAAGTCAAATCGGCTGTAACAATGAAGAACTTCAAAAAACAAAATGAAATCTCGGAAGCAAAACAGGCCTAAACCGATTCATTGGGGATTGGAATATAATAATTTAAGTTGAAAATAAATATTAAAATTATTATTATATATTTTGTGATTTTATTTTGTCGATCAAACTAAAGGTTACTGTTGGGAAAGCAATAGGCCTAATGTTTATGATAAAACTTACGTTACGCTGCCAGATATCTACTAACATTTCAAGCATGCGCGAATAATGTTATAAAGTGTACGCTTTTTTGATTACTAAATTGTTTAATGTAGTTTTCTTCTGTTTAGTAAGCTTAAGCTTGCATTGTTGCAGTGCTGAGAGACTAGTGTTGCAGCAAGCTGAAACTAGGCTCACTTCTTTTTTCCGTTTTACTTCCATTTTTTACCACGTCTTTGTAACAAACTTGAACTAACAGTCCTCATATGTCTTTCTACTTCTTTAAATTTTCTAATTCGTACGTTCAGGTTTAATTAATTATTGATTTGTAAAACTTAACTGTGTGTGTTTGAACGAGTTCGTTCCAGCAACTGTATGTCTTTTAAAAATCGTTTTTCTCATGTTTACATGCAAGAACTATTGAATTGTGAACCAGTTTGCGACCGTTATGCGCAACGACGAAAGATGTACACAGATTTGTATGTTCTCCTTCATTTACTGAACTTTTTAATAAAGAAACTAACTTCTAGATGCGTTTCTAATAGTTCTAACATGCTAAGTTTTCTTTATGTTAAGAAAATGCAAAATTAGTCACGTTCTGAATTCTGTTTAAGCAACTTATGAGAGAGGCCTAAACCTGGTAGAAAATGCAAAATTAGTCACGTTCCGAATTCTGTTTAAGTAACTTATGAGAAAGGCCTAAACCTGGTATGTTAACACTACTTGAAAAAAAATCAGATGACTTACGGTTGTTAAATGAAATACTATATTCTTTTTAAATCGAGTTATTGGAAATTACTTAGAGCTTGCAAATGAAAAATTATATATTATTAAACAATGAGAGAAGGCTTACGGCTTGCAGAACAAAACAACTTAAATCAAGGTGTGGTAGATCGCTTGCAAATTGCAGAATGAAACATTATATCTTGTTAAACAACTACAAACGGCTTACGACTTCTAGAATTAAGTATTGTATTCTATTCAATCGAGCTATGGAAGAGGGCTTATAGCTTGCAAAATGACAGTGCACACGAAATCCGTTTTTTTCACACTTCTATTAAATCTGTTTTTAAATATTTTAATTTGACAAAATTGTTTTCTTTTCTTGTTAAACAGTGACATCTCTAAATGTTTGTACCCCAATGGACCGGCGGTAAGTTTCTGGATTTAGACTGTAAAATTGAGGGTTCGACTCCACTCGGTGGACAGATCTCGGGTAGCTCATTGTGAATCTTTGTGCTTAAAGAATATCAGCAACTTGAAAGATCTAAAATTGATGTCCTAGGTCAGTTGGTTTTTAATGCGTAAAAACAAAACATTAGATTAGAGAGTAACATAAGTTTTACAAATCAGCTATGATACATCCCACAGTATTTTCTTATAATATCTTCGTTTGATAAACCTTCGTACCGTATTTGATAAATAACGACTGTGCTACTTTTTCCGCTGTGAAGTACATTCTGCATCACCATTAATGTTTGCAGACATGCGTTACAAATCGTGAGCCTCATCACGAAATTTTCGGGGGAAGGGGAGGTCGTTTCTGAAATCAGTAACATTTTTAGGCTTAACTAAGCCGTGAGTCAGTAGCAGCCAAGCAGAACATCCATAGATAAGATTATAACACTACGTTCGGCAGATTTATACAGCCCTAGATTTAATTTTCCGTCATAATCGAAAGCCAGTTGAGGTTCAAAAGAAGGGTCACTTGCCTCAGACAACCCCTCCGCCCTCCAAGCAAATTAGATTTATTTTAATTTGTGCGTTTTGATTTTTACGTAACAGGATGAAAATTGTTGATGTAGAAAAAAGTTGCGAATAACGGTAATTTGTTGTTTGGCTTATTTTTTTAAATTTCTTCCTTTTCATCTTTTTCTTAGTGGTTGCAAGACACTTTATAGATAAATATACTGTTAGATAGAGCAACCAAGTCTTAAGAGTAAAGCTAACAGTAAGTCCTTCTTGTTGCCTGGCTTTCACTATTATTACATCCTTGTAACAATCTTCTAAAAAAAAGTGAATTTTTAAAGGACATCTACCTCACGTTCTCACGTGAGAATGCGAAGTCTGAATCAGACGTGTGCCTAATCCTTCTGTCAGTATTGATGTTGCTCTATCTTGTCAATTATTGACTCGCAAACATATGTAAAGCGTACACAACACTGTCTTGCAGATGAAACAGTATAAATGAATTAGCATGTCTTGATGCTGATGTCATGAGCTCCATATTGCTGGAACATTAGTTTAGCTGTTGTTGTTGTGGTGGTGGTAGTGTTCTTTTTAATTCTGATTATATAAATATAGTTTGCTATGGAAGTAAGTTTTCACTTGTATTTGTTTAAAAATTAACTTTTTATCTTCCGTGCTGAGGGAAACGGATAACGCAGTAATAACTTTGTGTTACAAGAAACCGATTTTCTCGGGAAACCGAATGATAAATTCTGCTTACAGATAAAATGTCAAAACGTTTTCTATATAATTTATTAACACAATTATGATTTGTAAACAAATAATCTTATCCTCTCAGGTCTGATTCAAAGTTATAAAACATAAGTTGTTTGTGAAAGAAGCTGTTGGATCAAAACATCAATTTGATTTTGATTTTTTTCGCGTTGAGACCTGTAAAGAAATATAAACTATTGTGTGAAGCCACGTTGACAGTATGTTAAGCGACTTGCGAGTGCAAAATAGACTTCACCAAAACAAGCTAGAAAGTAGTAAGGTGGTGAGTACTTTACTGAGCAAGCTGCCTCACCCAAGACATTGTTTAGATCGGTCAATCGTTTTCTTGAAAATTATGTAAATAGTCACTAGGTTGAGTCACTGTCAAAACAAAACTGTATCTTGAAATGAGGCGTTTTTGGCATGTGTGTGACTGGTTAATTCAACATAGGTGGCCTCCAGTGGCACAGCCGCATGTCTGCGGACTTACAAGACTAGAAACCGGGTTTCGATACCCGTAGTGGGCAGAGCACAGATAGCCCATTGTGTAGCTTTGTGCTTAACTTCAAATAAATAAACAACATAGGTGTTCGGTGATTCTAAAAAAAAGCCATAAAATCTTGAGATACATCCTGTGGTAGACAAAGGATAACGGGTACAACACAAAGAATGGGAGCTACGAAAAATAAAAAAACAGTTAGCCAAAGATTCTGACATGTTTTTAATATCTTTCCGCCACGATTACCTTAATAACCTTAGTGATTCATGAATACTTCATTCAGAAGTTTTATCATACGTGAGAACATTTTCAAAAATGCGTCGTCCTACAAGGATCAACGGAAATTAAAAACAAATTTGAATTTCCGAATTTTTAACTTCTTCTCGTTAATGGAGAAATAACTTTGTATTCCTCTGCACGTTGTCAGTATGGATTCAAAAATTCTAGTAACCATGTGGAATATTTGTTGTTCGACATATTGATTTGGGCTATTCTTCATGTACACATTCTATTGCTGCAGACCTTTGTTGCAGTTATGTCCTCTTCTGTAATAAATAACCTACAGTAAGGTCTTCCTGCTCGTTCTTCAAGCTTCTATGATGGATATGTAGAGGTGTCAATACATCCTCATTTGTTTAAAACTTGGAAATGTCTGTCTTTGTTTTCAGTCCCATCACCTTCGTTTCCTTAGAGAGACTTACTTAAATCTTGCTGGAACTTTCTCATTTTCTGTTGATTCTTTTACTGTCGAATGGCCTCTTGCAGATTTCTGTCAGACAAATAATAATCATTAGATGATCTGTGGTACTTTTCATCATATCTAAACAAATCAGTATAGGGCATCATTCTAAACCTCTAACAAATCAGTATAGGGCATCATTCTAAACCTCTAACAAATCAGGATAAATGAATGACTGATGGGCAAGGTTCTCTAAGTCTCTTATTATAGCAACATGAACCAGTGACTAATGGGTAACGTTCTATAAGTCTCATTTTCCAATAATTCTGTGCATGGATAGCAATTAAATTTCAGTCAAAGGACGATTTCAAACCAACTGAAAGAACTGATATTCTGAACACATTCTACGTACCTTATACAACTGAAAGAACTGATATTATGAACACATTCTACGTACCTCGTACAACTGAAAGAACTGATATTATGAACACATTCTACGTACCTCGTACAACTGAAAGAACTGATATTCTGAACACATTCTACGTACCTCGTACAACTGAAAGTACTGATATTCTGAACACATTCTTACGTACCTTATACAACTGAAAAAACTGATATTATGAACACATTCTACGTACCTTATACAACTGAAAGAACTGATATTATGAACACATTCTACGTACTTTATACAACTGAAAGAGCTGATATTCTGAACACATGCTACGTACCTTATACAACTGAAAGAACTGATATTCTGAACATATTCTACGTACCTTATACAACTGAAAGAACTGATATTATGAACACATTCTACGTATCTTATTCAACTGAAAGAACTGATATTATGAACACATTCTACGTATCTTATTCAACTGAAAGAACTGATATTCTGAACACATTCTACGTACCTCGTACAACTTAAAGAACTGATATCCTGAACACATTCTACGTACCTCGTACAACTGAAAGAACTGATATTCTGAACACATTCTACATACCTCGTACAACTGAAAGAACTGATATTCTGAACACATTCTACATACCTCGTACAACTGAAAGAACTGATATTCTGAACACATTCTACATACCTCGTACAACTGAAAGAACTGATATTCTGAACACGTTCTACGTACCTTATACAACTGAAAGAACTGATATTATGAACACATTCTACGTACCTCGTACAACTGAAAGAACTGATATTATGAACACATTCTACGTACCTTATACAACTGAAAGAACTGATATTCTGAACACATTCTACGTACCTCGTACAACTTAAAGAACTGATATTCTGAGCACATTCTACGTACCACGTACAACTGAAAGAACTGATATTTTGAACACGTTCTACGTACCTTATACAACTGAAAGAACTGATATTCTGAACACATTCTACGTACCTTATGCAACTGAAAGAACTGATATTCTGAACACATTCTACGTACCACGTACTACTGAAAGAACTGATATTCTGAACACGTTCTACGTACCTTATACAACTGAAAGAACTGATATTCTGAGCACATTCTACGTACCACGTACAACTGAAAGAACTGATATTATGAACACATTCTACGTACCTCGTACAACTGAAAGAACTGATATTCTGAACACATTCTACGTACCACGTACAACTGAAAGAACTGATATTCTGAACACGTTCTACGTACCTTATACAACTGAAAGAACTGATATTCTGAGCACATTCTACGTACCACGTACAACTGAAAGAACTGATATTATGAACACATTCTACGTACCTCGTACAACTGAAAGAACTGATATTCTGAACACATTCTTGTACATGAAACCAGTAATGACGAAGTACCCACATTTCAGAAAGTTATGATAAATCACTCCTACATACAGGGTTTGGTGCTCGGTACACAATCACAAAAAGAGTTCT